GGCAGAACGAGTTTATAGGCCAACTTAAGGAAGAGGCTACCCAGTTAAAAGGAAAAGACCTGGGGAATTTTAATAAGATTCTTAAGGACAACCGCCTGCAGAAGCAAGACTGGCAGCATTTCGACAAGAGTTTTAAAGAATTGCACCCGTCCTTTCTTAAAAGCCTCTTGGCTTTAAACTCAAGCCTCACCTATAAGGAGATCCGGTTGGCTGCATTCTTAAAACTGGGAATGAACAATCGGGAGATAGCTCAGCTCTTGAGTATTAACCACACCAGTATCAACCAGGCCAAATACCGTCTTAAAAAGAAGCTCCAGTTGGATGCAGAACAAAGCCTAGAGACCTTTATCCTCCAACTGGAGGAGATGTAAATTCATTTGACCTTAAATTTAACTCGCTACAAATCAGAAGTTTATTTTGGTTGTAGATCAAATGTAGATTGCCTTTTTTGGAGTTTGTGGTAAGAGTAGGGAGTTTTGGCCAATAATTAAAAATTCCAATTCCATGCAATTCCACATTACAATCTCCCCGGCAAAGCAGGTATTCCTATCATTTTTTTCGAAGACACTAATTCCCCTTGTCCTCATTATTTGCAGCACCGCCCAAATAAAGGCCCAAATGGCGGATATAAAATTAAGTGGGGCCGGAACAGCAGCGGTCAATGGAGTGTATACCTATATGGGGCAACACACCACAGGTGACGGGTGGGGAGGGAGTTATTCGGCTGATTATTATCAAAAGGGGTCTATTTACATATACCGGCTTTCATTTGTAGATTGGCCGGGAGGGCCTCTAAGTCATTGGTGGCGTATTGGGAGCTCATTGGGAGCGAATGGAAGTAATAGTATCTATTACACCGTAAAAAGCACACAGACGTATGCCACAGGCTTGACTTTTTCCCATTCCTCAGGTTTGGGATCCGGATCAGCCCCAACGGCTGAACTCAATAGCAATATCTGGAACGGGTCGGCATGGAGCGGTGGCTCTGCTCCGGGTACGGCAGATGATGTTTCCCTTTCTTCGAACACTTCCCCCGGAAGCTTTGGCGCTAAAAATTTGGACTTAGAGTCAGGAATTGACCTCACTATTGGAAGCGGAGAAACCGTGACCATTTCAGGGGATATTGGCGGTGTGGCACCGGTAAGCCTAAATGGAAGCCTTACTAATTTTACCCTTAGCGGTGCTTCTTCTAACCTCGTAAATGGGGCCGGAGGCAGCTTTACAGGAACCGGAAGCCCCGCCAACGGATTGAACTTTGATGGTTCGGATGATTATGTTTCCATCGAAGATAATGCTGTCTTTGATTTCAGCTCTGGTCTTACGGCCGAGGTATGGGTAAAACCCGATAACTTTAACAGCCATGCTTCCCTGGTATCTAAATTTTCCAATAACGAACGGGAATTCTCCCTCTTACTGCTTTCCTCTGGGAAGATGGAATACTCAATAACCTTTAATGGTTCTTCTGAAGAATACTTTGGCGGCAGCACTACCTTAACAGCCGGCAATTGGTACCATATTGCCCTTACCTATGATGGCTCCACCATGCGTGCTTATATAAATGGGGTAGCCGATGGTACAAAGTCGGTCAGTGGAACTATCCATAACGGTAGCTCAGACTTGTACATAGGGGTGCGGGGCGAAAACAGCCTGTCACGCTACTTTGATGGTACTATAGACGAGGTACGTATCTGGAACACCGCTCGCAGCCAAGCTGATATCCAAGCCAATATGAACGGTGAACTCACCGGTAATGAGGCTAACCTGATAAGTTATTTCAACTTTAACCAGGGAACGGCAGACGGAAGCAACAGCGGTGAAACGAGTCTGAACAACACAAAAGTTGTCTCTTATGACCCCAATGTGATCAGCGGTAGCGGTACCCTGATATTTGACAATAGCGGTGAAACACTTTCGCTTTCCAATGTAAAGCTCAATATGGAAGGCGTGGTACAGATAAGTTCGGGTACCACTTTACAGACCAACGACAGTCTCACCTTAACGGCTTCATCGGCTTCCTCTTATGGCCAGATCATCGGGGATGGTACGGTGCTGGGGAATGTTACTTCTCAGGCTTATATGGACGTTTCCTCAGCCCGTTACCATTACCTGGGTTCGCCTTTTACGGATGCTACCCTCCAGGAGTTCAATGAAGGGCAGACCATGGTGGCCGCCAATAATGGCAGTGGTACCATATGGCAGTGGAACGCTTCTTCTGCTTCCTGGGAAGCCCCTTCTTCGCTTTCGGATGTGGCGGCCAATGGCCGAGGTTATACCCTATATGCCGGGACCAATGCCTATGGTACTTTCCTCATGAGTGGCAATGGTGTGTCGGAACTGGATGGTACGGTAGCCTCAGGCGATATCGCTGTAGCACTTGGATATAATGACGGACAGGCTGCCGGGGTAAGTTTTACTGGTGGCTCCGGCCAAAGCTCTACAGAGGGCTGGAACTTTTTGGCCAACCCCTATCCTTCACAGTATGATTGGAACGGACAAACTCTTCCGGCCGGCATGAGTAATGCTTTTTATGTAAATAAGGGCGGGAGCTATGCTTCGTATGTAAGTGGGGTGGGCACCAATGGGGGCACGCAGTACCTCGCCCCTTTCCAGGGCTTTTGGGTACAGACGTCCAACAGTTCTCCCGGCAACTTCACTTTTGAACAGGACCAGAGAGTCACTGCGCCTTCTACTGCCCTGATGAAAACTTCTCCTATTGATGGGGTTTATCTTTCTGTTTCAGACAGCCTCACTTCGGATCAGCTCTTTATTGGTTTTGACAACAGTGCCTCTTCCGGTTTTGATGCCGCCCTGGATGCACGAAAGCTCCTCAATGGTGACAATATACCAAACCTATATGCCAGCCTGGGTGGAGAGACCTATTCTATTTGCCGGGTGCCTCTCAGCAGTAAATGGTCCATCCCGCTCAAGCTGGATTTTGAACAAAATGGAAAAGCCTTGTCTATTAGTCCTGATCTTTCACAATTACAATCTTTTGGACAGGTTTTAGTAGAGGACCGAAAGCTTAACATCACCTATGACCTTTCGGCCGGTGATTACCACTTTATCCATGACATTGCCTTTGGCCCTGACCGCTTCATCCTTCATTTTGGGCAGCCTTCCATTGGTGTGGAGGGACCTGTACAGCAGCCTGTAGTCTACGGCTATGCTAATGGGCATGGCCTGAACGTAGAGCTGGGGGCACTTCACAATGCCACGGTAGAAGTCTACAATATGGCCGGGCAGCTGGTGGACAGCAAAGAAAAGCTCAACGGAAAAGCCTCTTTTGATGTGAAAGACCGTGGACTCTACATTTTAAAAGTATCGGCTGATGACTTCTCTCAATGCCTCAAAGTAATCCGATAACCCTAAAAACACCCTTGAAAATGCACTTAAAAAAATATATCCCCATCATCGTGTTTACACTGCTATGCACAGCTACGGCCATGGCCCAGCCCGAAGAACCGGACGCCCCTACCCCCTTTGGCTTTGTGGAATTGCTCATTGGGGCCGGGGCGCTCTATGGGGGAAGGAAAGTATACAACAGGAAGGTAGAACAGAAATAAGGTTTTTATAACATTCGTTGGCCTCCCGGCTATGTTGCAAGCGTTCTTACTAAGCGGTTTCCACAACTCTTAAGGTAAAACGAATATTTCGTAGCTTCACCCACCTAATACTACCTTAACGGGTAAATGACACATTACGGGGAGAAATCTATGGCCAACTGCTTGGGCACATTCTTATTGTGTCTCTTTGTAACTACCGTTCCAAGTGTAGGTTTCGGGCAGGATTTGCCGGACTCATACCAAGGAGTTGGCGCTTATATCGAAAATCATGAAGTGGACTCTGTAGAGCTTCAGAAGTTAAATGCCCACTTCAGAGCTCTTGACCAAAGTGATGCCGATTCACTGATCACGGTTATTTTCCCTTTGTTGGAAAAGCAATATGAAGATCGCCCTGCTGGCGAAAAGGCTTTTTTATATAACCGCCTCACGGCAGCAGCCTATCAGCTTACCGGAAATGCCCGCGAGAGCAGCCGTTTAGCCGATCAGCAAATAAAATATTACCATAAGGCGGGGAACCTGTTTTACGAGTTGTGGGCCTTTACCCACAAGATGTTTATACTGGCTGATCTGGACAGCGTTAACCTGGCTTTTAAGGCCAGCATTGAACTGCAAAAAAAGCTGGACACCTATAACCTAAGGCCTGCCGAATACGCTGACCTATACCGGCAGTTGTGCGTATTTTATCAAAATATTGGTGAGGTGGATCATGGCCTCAACTTTTGCAATCAGGCTATTGAACATAGTCGCAAACACGATTTTAAGCAGGGGAATGCCGTTTTGTATGAAACCCTGGCCCTGCTAACCGAATCTAAAACAGGTGATGAAGAACAAGTGATTGCCTTGCGCAGAAAAGCCATAAACGAGGCACGGGTTGAGCCTGACTCTTTTGTGTTGCGTGTTATTTACCGGAACCTCGCTCGCTCATTCGCCCGCATAGACCTCCCGGATAGTGCCCGTAAATACTTTGACCTGACCTTTGAACTATATGAAACCCACCCCTATCTCTTTGGTTGGTTCACAGACCAGATATCCTACGCTGAATTCCTGATAGAACAGAATGAGCTGGAAAAGGCCCATACTATTATCCAGGCTTTGGATTCCAACCTTACGGATCATGTACCCACCCTTTACAATTACTATAGTCTCAAAGAATTGCATGCCGTAAGCACTCATAATGTTCCTGATTACCTGCTTTGGTCTGCACGCTATGACTCCATTTCAGAATGGGAAAATGAAGAGACACGCCTCAAGGCCCGGGAGGAAATGGCTACCCGCTATCAAACTGAAAAGAAGGAAGCTGAAAACCAACTTTTAGGGGCCCGCAGCCGGTCCAGGTTGGTCCAGATATTGGCTTTGCTGGGCCTTGTAATTTTATTAATGGTGATCATGATTCTCATTATTCAGCGCAGAAAACGAGAGAGAGACCTTCACAAAAAGGATCAGCGTCTCAAAGAACTGGAGCTAGAGCGGGAGCGTGAAGAAAAGATCCGCATTAGTGAGAAGAGTGATGAACTGAAAAAGGACCTCGGCCAGCGTATTAAGCAGGTGGTAGAACAACAGGTAATTAATGCCGAGCTTATGGAAATGGTGGAAGAACTGCGCACCACCAATGAGTCTCCCCTGGTGCGTAAGAAGGCCGCTCAAATGAAAGCCCACCTCATCAAGAGCATACAGGGGCAGATCTTTGAGAACATTTACACTAAAATGCTGGAACTGTATCCCCAATTACTGAAATATCTCTCTGAAGAACTGGGGCCGGATAAAGAAGCAGAGCTAGTGTCTGCCGCCATGTACTTCCTGGGCTATGAGTCTGCTGTAATTGCCAAAGTGCTTAACCGCTCGGAAAAAGCCATTCGCAATATGCGCCACCGGGTACGGCAAAAATTAGGGATGGAAAGCAATGATGAATTTGTAGAATACTTACACCGGGTCAATACACGACTTAATCAAGGCTGAGAGACCAAAACCCGGCTTTAAGTCACCTGCTCCAAAATAATCCATCGTTTTTCAAGCGTGTTCTTTGTAAAAAACCTGCTAATTAGCAGGTTAAATCCACCCATTTACTTCAAAATATATTTTTCTATAAATCAGAGCATTACCGGGGTTGGGACACCTTTGGGACACCCTTTTTGCTATAGAAGCGCCCACCTACGCCTAGTTTTGGTGTCATCACAAAAAACCGGGTTACTCCATGAAATTAAAAAGCACTTCGAGGCAAGGGATTGTAATCTTACTAATTCTATTGCTGGCGGGTAGTTGGTCAAGCCAATTATATGCACAGTTTTCCGGTGGCTCCGGAACACAAGGTGACCCCTGGCAAATCTCAACTTTAACCGACCTGCAGGCCATTGACAATGTCACCTACATGTCTGACTATTTTATTTTAACCAATGACATTGATGCTTCGGCTACCTCCGGCTGGAACAGTGGTGCCGGATTTGATCCTATCGGAGATTTCACTAACCGGTTTAGTGGAAGTGTTAACGGTAATGGTTATAAGATCTCCAATCTGAATATAAACCGTAGCAGTACTGATTATATAGGTCTTTTTGGCTACGCTGATGATGCCTCTGTTCCCTGTACCATTGAAAATCTTGGGTTAGTAAATGTATCTATAACTGGTAATTATTACGTAGGAGGCCTCATAGGCCGTACCAGCTATGTTGCAGTTACTAACTGCTATGTAACCGGATCGGTAAGTGGGTCAGGTACAGAAATAGGCGGGCTTATCGGCTATCAATATGAAGAAACCATATCGCGCTGCTTTACAGACGTTAGTGTAAACGGTGGAGGTGATTATACCGGTGGTGTTATAGGTTACCTGGAAGGCGGTGAATTATACAATTCATACGCACTCGGTTCAGTTCATAGCACCAATGGCGATGCCGGTGGCCTGGTAGGTGAAATAGAAGATTATGAAATACAATATTGCTATGCAGCCGGTGTGGTTAGCGGTGGTTCTCCAAGTTCCGATCCGGGCGGCCTGATCAGTTATGTTGATGGTGGTGATGTAGATGATTCATATTGGAATACGGACAGCACTGCCACCAGTGACGAAGGTACCGGCCTTACAACCGCCCAGATGAAAAGCTCAGGCAACTACACCGGCTTTAATTTTAACACCATTTGGGCTATAGACCCCAATATCAATAATGGTTATCCCTACCTGCAGAATAATGCCCCTATAGAAGCCAACGCGCAAAATGCGGTGCTTTACCTGGATGCTTCGGGCAGAGCCACCCTCACCTCTAATGACGTGGATGATGGTTCTAAAGCCGTTAGCGGTATAGCCAGCCTTTCCCTCAGCCAAACGGCTTTCAGCTGTTCTGATGCAGATTCCATCCCTTCCATCGTAACTGCATTGGATTTTGATGGAACCAACGACTTTATAAACATACCCAACAATGCGGCCTATGAAAGCAGTGTGGGCACCCTGGAAATGTGGGTTAAACCGATCTCCTATTCGGGTAATAAATGTTTAATAGCCATGCGTTTAGATGGAACTGGTGTTAGGTATAGCTACTATTTAAATCAGCAGGCCGGTCAAATCGCCATATGGAATGGAGGTACTTACAGCTCCATAACGTATGATAGTGGTTTTGATGCAGATACCTGGTATCATATTGCTCTGGCTTACACCACCTCCCGCACGGATATATTTGTGAACGGAGAATATGTGAACTCACTTACCGCAGGAGTTTCCTCCGCCACCACCGGACGTAACCTTACTATTGGTGCTTCCAGCACCAGTGGAGCAGAAGTGTTTTCAGGGCAGATCAGCGATGTTCGCATCTGGAACGATTGGAGAAACGCAGAGCAAATAAGAACCAATAAGAACCGCCTACTCACCGGTAATGAATCCGGATTGGTAGGATATTACCCTGCTTTAAAAGGAAAAGGTAGTATACTTTACGATTATTCTTCTACCGATAATGATGGTACCCTCACCAACATGGATGCCTCCACAGATTGGATCAATAATGGCACACAAATAATACTCACCGTTTTGGATAATGACGGCAACACTGCTACCGATACGGCTTATGTGACCATTGCCGACAATACCATACCTACGGTTATCGCCCAAAACATCAACAAGTTTGCCTACACCAATGGTTCTGCGGCTGTTACCACCAGTAACCTGGACAATAGTTCTTCCGATAACTGTACACTCAATCTGGCCTTGAACAGAAGTACCGTATCCTTTGCTGATACCGTGTTGCCCCTATCCCGCACCCTCGATTTTGATGGTGCCGATGATTTTGTAGTCATCTCTAATGATGCGGATTTTGAGTTCACTACCGGCACCATAGAGCTGTGGATAAAACCCAATACCAATAACAACTCAGGCATCATCGGTATGCGTTACGGGGGCTCGGTACGCTATAGTTTTCATATAGATGAAGGGAATGACCTGATCGGTTTATGGAACGGTGGTTCTTATAATACTATTCCCTATCCCTTTATTGGTGACGAGTGGTACCACATCGCTTTATCCATACAACCCAGCAAAGTAGACGCTTACATTAACGGACAAAGTGTAGGGAGCTTCTATGGCGGTATCAATTCAGCCGTTACCGGTTTGGATTTGAGCATAGGAGGTTCAGTGCCCTCTGCCGGTTTTGAAGCCTTTAGCGGTGAGATTGATGAAGTACGCTACTGGAATGACCTCCGTACCCAGAACGAAATACAAGCCAATATGCACCTGGCCCTGGCCGGAAACGAAGCCAACCTCGTGGCCTATTACCCTTTTAACGAGGCCTCTGACACTGTGGTTACGGATGAAGGCCCCAACGGCCATAATGGAGCGATGGCCAATATGGAGCCCGCCACCGACCGGGTTAACAATGGTACTCCCGTATTTCTTACCGGTACCGATGGAGCCGGTCATCAAGCCAGCGATCTGGCCTTTATCAACCTGGTGGAAGTGCCCTTTGCCGGAGGATCCGGCACCGTGGAAGATCCTTGGCAGATCACTACCCTGGAACAACTGCAGGCTATAGATGATCCGATTTACATGGACCGGCATTTCATCCTGATGAACGACATTGATGCATCCGCCACGGCAGGCTGGAATGGAGGCAAGGGTTTTAATCCCATCGGTAACGGAGAATTTTTCTCGGACTCTACCATAGCCTTCAAAGGCTCCTTCCGGGGCATGGGTTACATCATATCCAACCTCTATATTAACCGGCCTTCTATGGAAATGGTGGGTCTCTTCTCCGATCTTACCGGAGATGTAGATAGTTTAGGGTTTGTGAATGATACCATCACCGGCTGGCGGTATGCAGGACCTCTGACCGGGATTTGCCGGGAGTGTAAAATTGAAAGGTGCTATGCTACCGGCAGTACTGTAACCGTAGTGGGTGCCACAGGTTATGCCGGAGCTTTGTTGGGAAGCATTAGCTATCCATCCGACACTATTTCAGATTGCTATAGCAGTGGTACTGTTACTACCCCCTTGTACGGAGGAGGCCTTTCTGGTAGTGCCACAGCCGCCACGATAGTAGATTGCTATTCATCTGCTAATGTAAACGGTGGTAACACCGTAGGAGGTTTGATCGGGGCTATAAGTAACAACGTTACCATAACCCAATGCTACGCTACGGGTAATGTAAGCGGAGTTGACCTGGTAGGTGGTTTATTAGGCGGCAGGGGTAATTTTAACGTTAATCTCTCCTATGCCAGTGGTACGGTAACTGGCACCAACCGTGTTGGTGGACTTATTGGCCAATTTACAGGCAATGGCTACACCATTACCAACAACCATTTTAGCGGTACGGTAAACGGAGGCAGCCGTACAGGAGGGCTTATCGGTACTTATATCACCGGAACCGTCAGTAATAACTATACCACCAGTGCCACAAGTGGTAGTTCAGATGTTGGCGGTATTGTTGGCTTTACACAATTTGCTTTTTTTCAACCGGCAGCCACTAACTACTGGAATACCGATAGTTTTGCCACGGGAACAGCAGGGACCGGTCTTACTACAGCTGAAATGAAGCAGGAAACAAAGTTCAGCGGCTTTGATTTTACCAATACCTGGGCCATTCACCCGCTACGCAATGATGGTAATCCATACCTGCGGATCTATGAAAGCCACTTCCCGGTAAGAGGTTCTGCCTGGACAGCCGGAGCCTGGGACAATGGCACTCCTAATGATACGGTAAACGTTTGGATACGGGATAATACGGCACCTGCCTCATTTACCGCCAAAGACATCTATATTGATGAGGCCACAGCCTTGAATACCGGTAGTGGCAATACCATAAACGTAAGCCGTAATGTCTATAATTTCGGCAACGGTTTTTCTGGTACCGGTACAGTAAGCTTTGACAGTAATGGTGACACTCTGGGCATTTATCTGGAAGCTTACGAACTTGAAGGCGTGATCAACGTGGAAGGTGGAACCACTTTACAAACCAGTGATTCCCTCACCTTAACTGCTTCCTCGGCATCATCCTATGGCCAGATCATTGGTGACGGAGCCGTATTGGGCAATGTTACTTCACAGGCCTGGATGGACGTTTCCACCGCCCGCTATCATTACCTGGGCTCGCCTTTTACGGATGCCTCGCTGGAAGAGTTCAACGAAGGACAAACCATGGTGGCCGCCAACAGCGGTCAGGGCTCCGTGTGGCAATGGAACGCTGCAACCGCTTCCTGGGAAGCACCTTCTGCACTTACCGATGTGGCGGTTAATGGAAAAGGCTACGCCATGTACGCAGGAACCAATGCCTACGGCACTTTCCTGATGAATGGTAATGGCGTGTCTGAACTGGACGGCACAGTGGCCAATGGCAATATTTCCATAGCTCTCGGATACAATAACGGGCAATCCTCTGCGGTGGGCTTTGTGGGAGGAACTTCAC